TAACATTTGTAAATTTGCTCAACTTATTCGCCGACCTTTCCATTTTCATTTCTTCCAGTTTCTTCTTCCTTGTTAATAAACAATTCAAAACCGCTACCATTAGCCCAATAGCTACATCTGTCCTTAACAAATGTGCTGGTACACTAGCCAGGCCACTGTTCAATATATTTTGTAACAGCTATCGTCGTGGCGTTGTTTCAGTTTGTTTAACTAGTATCCAAGACCGACGATTCCACTAATCCGCCCTCATCAAAGCCGTGGCAATTATGATCAATTGCCACAGTACGGGATGTCTAGAATTCAAAAACTTAATCCCACGACTGGCAATTTAATCACTCGTCTCCCTGACAGAGTGTAAACTCGTTGCTCTGGATATCTTCAAGGCATTCTGCGCTCTAATCTACAAATCGGCTGTATTTAATGTTGATAGCAATTCGTTTTTCTTAATAACTGATATATCTTGTGCCCCTTCTTGTTGTTTTCCTTGAGAGACCATCCAGCACAAAGCTACAAATAGGATAAATCATAAAGCCAACTAAACTCTTAGCGTGGAGAAGAAATGATGATGTGGTGATGTCAATGTAGTTCAGTAGCTCTCGGTGATTGAAGTAACAGACCGAAAACCCGAAGTGTTCAAAGAAGCAACGAAGGGCTTACGGTAAAGCGATGCAAGAGATACTTGAATGCAGCCGATATGTGCATAAATGCATGTGAAAGCTCCCACATGTTGCCTGGAAACTCTTCGACGCTTACAGCGAAGGGATAAGACACTCATGGACCACAAGAGTGTATCTAACCACCTTGATATCATCGAATATCAGCTAACCTGGGCCTTATGGCAAGTATTTTACGACGATTAAAAGGATTTGGTCGGCAAATCAAGTCCCTTAACAGAAGTCAACGTTCTAATGGCACCCCTGGAGGAGCCAGCGTTTTACAGACGCAAAAGACTAGAGCGCCTCGTTGTTCCTTAACCGCATTGCCAGCTTTCAGAACAATTTATCTGCAGTGGACTGTTTTCCGCCTTTCCATATGTATCCGCTCTCAAGACGGATGCACACATATATAAATCACTTTTTCCTATTTAATTATAGCTCACCCACTGTGTCCACATTTATAAGCGACATTTTCTCAGAGCGTGGACACATATATAGGTAACAAAAAAAATTGTGAAAAGAAAAAATTATTCTTTTGAAGAGCTCGATTATACCCTGGTGTTAAAATATGTTAAAGACGCTACCTCCATGCTTACTTCTGTAAGCGTTAAACTAGGAAATAAAATTTTTCTTGAAATTTTTAAAATGAAGAGAGTGGAAATTGTATCGCAACACCTTCAAAACTAAACTTCAAAAATTTGCACCAATATACAGGTATAAGAATGTCAAAGTACTGTTGAAATTCTCTGCATCTGTGTCTGTCATTTTCTCTGTAAACTGTAAATGTATATAAGAAATATTGCTTCAAAATGTCGATTGCCTTTTTCCTCCTTTTTATCGAAAGAGTTAAAAAAATATTTAATCATCATTTCATTGCTTGAGTTCATTCACGTCCTTGAACTATACATAAGGTGGCAAAATTTCCAACTCAGTCAAGTAGAATATTTTTTTTATTTATTAATTCCAATTTTTAAGTTACAAAACGTGATGGATCCCAAGAAAATCGATTTAAACTCTGTTTGTATTTTTAGGATAATTAATTATTTAAGAGACCAGCTGCCATAATAATTTTAATGAGAGTGAATATCGACTTTTCTTTGAAATCTAATTAACAAATCCAGTGAGGGGCAATAATATTGGTAAAAAAGTTTCGGGAATTTCGGGACTTTTTTTTTATAAACTAGGAGGCTGAAGCTACAAAAGTTTTTTATAAGCTCGTGTGTGACGTACATGAAGCAAAGGATTGATCACTTTAAATGAAATTAGATATAGTTTAAGAGTTTTGACTGATGGATAGCATTATGATGATTTTCTCTTTTAGTTCCTTAATAGGGATGCTTAGGAAGAGACAATTGATAATTACTAAGTGTAGACGGGATTTTTACATTCTTACGGTAAAAGAAGTTTATTTTATATGTGTCAGACATATTAATCTAACATCCTCTAAAACGGTGATCAATAAAATCAAAAACTTCGGCAAGTGCAAGCAACATTAGCATTATTTTCATTTTTTTTCCGTCATTTAGAATTAGTTTTCAATGCATGCAAAAATCTGTACAAATGCTGTAGATATCATGCTTGTAATCGTTTCTTTCCAAAAACCCTTTCTGGAAGACATTAGGACCACTTGACATAAATTATCTCGTACTGCTTCTTATAAGCAAAATATCGGGAAAAATTTTCGATTGTAATGTACTAATTTCCACGCGATATTAAAACAAATACATCTTTGTGCGCGCAATCAATACTAAAAATTCGTAGGTTCTAACGTTTACATGGACGCTTGAAAGAAAATTTCGCCTTCCTTTACCGATATTTCCAATATTAATTCAGTTCAAACGAGCAGACGTTTAAATTTTATATTTTTATTGCACCTATCACATGGACTCTTTGAAATTGGTCAAAGTACCTTCTGATTACTTATATGTACATTAGAGAGATTCCAAGAAATCTTTACATTCTTCATTAGCATGAACAGCAATATAGATGTAACGATGCGTCCGTCTTTCTTTCCGTCAAATTGCTAAAGGCTGACTTACAACTTGGTGGAACTTTATTTAGAATAAGAAAATAAAAATTCACCACTCTACAGTTATCTATATATAGATTTTTCAGAATAAGACGTTGTGTGAGAAGTTGTCGGAAGTTATGATCCAAATTTCATTAGCATATCTTAAAAATTGCGATTTATGTATTGAACATAAAGAAACAGGACAGACAGGCGCACAAACAAGGGTGCTATAATACGAGACAGAGTCCTTTGTCACAAGCTTGTACCACAAGTGATGTAGGGTATAAAAATAAAATAAAGCTTCATTAAAGCCCTCTTGTTAATTTTAGTTCAAAAATCAGCCAAGTGCGAGCTACGGGAGTCTCATAATTTGCAATTAATCGCATTAAACATGATTTTCCGTTTACAGAACAAATATTTGTTGTGCAGCTGGACAAAAGTGCGTGCAGGTGTTTGTCTGTTCTATTTTGAGATGAGATCCCGTACGCAACTATTAATGGGTATTATAAAAATTCGACAACACTGCTTCAACACTGCGTTAGTCTCTAAAAGTTTTTTTAATTAGTTTCAAATAATCCGTTTTTATAAGTCAAGAACCGAAAACCGATTGTTAAATTTAAAAAACCCGCTATATTATAAAAAAAAAAAATTTCTTTAAAATACATTTCTCTTTGGGAAGGCATTTTAGTATAAATTCCTATTCCTATTACTTTATGATCAGAGCGTATGCCCACCTCATTTACTATTGATCGTGCTAGCGAAAAGTTAAAGTAGCTGCCCAACTAGAGTATAAACGAGAAGATATCTTCATAGATATTATCCGTTTGCCATATCGTACTAGAAATTGTTAATAGAATAGCAATAACAGCAACAGAACGTAAAAGAAAAGGATCAGTTTTAACAAGATAATAAAATTTTATCTCGTTTTCCTTCATTATTAATTGTTATTACGTGTCATGCTCTTTTTAAGAAAATCATTTTGAACAAAAGCTAAATCAACCGTGAGTGCATAAAGTTCGTTATATTCATTTAAAGTTCAATTACATTTTATATCACGAGAATGACCGGCAAAGCAAGGCTTTCTACACATATTTGGCTTGGATTGTTGAGTCTTAAGCTTATTTATATATTAAACAAACGCATACAGGATTTTTTAGTTTAGTATTCAACGATAATTTTAAAGTTTTTATTATTTTTATGTTAAATTTAATTAATAATAAAAGGAGACGACACGAATACCTATATCAAATGAGTGGCCTTGGTATACACAAGAATTTTTATTATAAATATTTATGTATTGGTTTCGAGGACACGCTTTATATGATCAAAATATGAAATAAAAAATTAAAAAAAATAAAAAAATTAAATAATAAAATTAATAATAATAATAAGTGTGTTGAAAACAGTTAAATCTCTAATTACATGTTATTTATGTTAATAGATATTTTTATTTATTTATTTGTATACAGTGTCTTTTAATATTGATTGCTCTTTGCTTTTACGAGCTTCTTGTAATCATAAAATTTAAGATCTATCGACAATTTATACTGAAAATGGAAAAGTGTTTTTATCCAAAGAAAATTTAATTTAAATTCATTTAATAGCCAGCAAGCATAACGGACCTAAATTTTTTGGATATACATACGTATATAATATTTAGGTGAATGTGAGTTTTAGCCGAATTAATTTGCTTTCAATCATTTTCGCTTTTCGCTTTGTTTTTCACTAATCTAGCTCTTTGCTCTACTTATTGAAAATGAAATACGCAATGTTTAAAAAGCAATGCGCTCTGAACTTATTATCTCGCCATCATTTCGTGCTATGGATATAGAGAATTTTTTTATAACCATCACCGATGGACTTGTCAGATCGAGACAAACAAATAGAATGCGATATTTGAGGTTTTAATATTCAGCGTACTTCTGGTGGTAGAGAACAGAACTACTACTTTCAACAGATGTCGTCAGTTAGTTACGAAGCACTGAGTGAATAAAATGCACTTAGTAAAGAGCATATATGACAATGAACTTGGTATGAATTCTAGAAATCGATTGCTTCTAAAAACATATGTGAACTGTTTCTCTGTTTCGTCAAGAAATCTAGTTTTCCGTCTATGATGGTTTGTAGTAGACTCCAAGACTTATTAAAGGTTTGGAGATTGTTCAACACACGAACCCACAACTTTTGCTTGCCCCTTTATTAGTAGTCTTAATATTATTAAATTATATATGTATAAATATATATGTAGAGACAAACTACGACAGGTCGCACTTAGTTCATTTGTTCTTCTTAATTTGGGTAATCACTTAAGAGATCTGTTAAAGTTAACTTACCTCATTTCGTCCTTCGTTCGATTAGGACAATCCTAGTCACCAATCACGTAACTAACATATTGGTATGCAAGCAACAATGTCCTCGTTGGTCGTCACATTTTGTTCTGAAAAACAAATTAATTGATGAAAAATTTGATTATTTATGGGACCATATTAGAAGTGTTGTAATGATTTGTCCGACACGGGAAAAAAATCAACGATCGATTCAGTGCACAATATTAGGTCACTTGTTTCTACTTTCTGCTAAATAAAGTAAATTAACATGTATTCAAGACAAGAAGTTTTATTGGACGGAGAGGCCAAAATTTGACGAGACGACGTAGAAGAGAAGACACAACTTGATGATTAGTCAAAAAGGGGAAAAATATTTTCGATGTTGTCAAAGGAATCAAAACAATATCAAGTCATTAAAAACCCATCAAAAAAGTTTTAATCGTCGGTAGAGAGTAAATAATTAGCCTCGCGTTTCGATCTTTGATAGCTTTTGCCGCGATAGTTTCGTTCGTTGGAGCAAATCGTTTCCTCTTTCACTAGCCGACGGTACAATTGCATGGTATTTTGTTTGGTGATTATAGAGAAGAAGGTTGGACGCTTATGGTTGCCTTCACCTTCAAAAAAACGATAATAGATGTCAGCATCTATTCTGATCATTCTTTCACTTGGAAAAGGCATTTATTGAGAAAAATTAGCAGAATATATATTAATAACAATATTTTTCGTCATTTTCTACAACTTTTTCCGATTCTGGATATTGGTTTTTATTATCAGCCCAAAAATCGATCCATTCTCGCACTTTCTCAGCGTTTTAAGACCGCGTGCCAGCCAAAACGAGGTGCATCGTTCCGAACAAATGGTAATCAGAAGGCACTATATCTGATGACCACGGTGGGTGCGGCAGGCCTTCGTACTCGAGCTTCAAAGGTGTATCCTTGACAATTCTTTCAACGGGCCGAGCTTTGTCGTGCAGAAGGATGATTTTATGCCTCTTAACTGCTATTGCTATTCTTTTTTGCTGCAATACATCGTTCAATTTGTTCAATTAACTTAGGAAGGCAGCTGCACTATCAGTTTCATTTGATGCTCGTAATACACTACACCTTGCTGATCCCTCCATGGGCACAGAAAAACTTTATGGCTATGAATGTTTCGCATTTTCTCATCGCCAGTCAGAATTCGACGCAGAAAACTCTTTTTTTCTTTGCTTGGCAAGCAATGAAACCGTGATGTTGAAAAGGATCGAAATGACATTTACAGTCGATTCGAGTGATAGCCATTTTGTCTCCTTTTTGGATCTTTCGTATCGCAAGTATTGATTCATCAACTGGGAAGCTATTCGAAGTGTTTTTGCGAGTTTGACTGGGTTTTCGTTTAATAAATCTTGCAATTCATTGTCTTTGAACTCTTTGGGTCCACCAAACCGTTCTTTGTCACTTACATCAAAGTCATCACTTTCAAATTGCTGAAATAAAAATCGACAATTGGAATGCGACGAAGCAACATCACCTTTCCAAAGTGTTTGGCGATCGTCGGTAGAAGATTGCCTCAAATCAAACAACGAAAGTAATTAATGTCGAAGGTACAATTTTGAGCGTTCCATGATTAGCGTCTGCATACACTGAATAACTCATTAATAGTAAATGGAAAACTGTTTTGTCTTTTATATAGAGAAGGGTCAAAATCATGGAATTTATCCATACTTCCTATCATTCTTTATCATTTGTCGCTGATCGGAATATATGTAAGCACCTAACACATAATAGCTGAAGTATTCTTTTCAAGTAGAGCTGCTTCTTAAGTGAAGCATAACAAAATTAATAGGAATCGCGATTGCCGCCATATTCGCGAACCTCACGCTAACGTCAGCATTTTCGCGACCATCTGCCAAATAAATAGATAGTAAATATATATGTAACATATTTAGTGCTTATGGGCGTATGACTGACTGCGAGCTGTCAAATCGACGATCAAAGCACGTCAAACAGGAAGAAAGAAAAGTGCTGTCACGAAATCAAACTATACAAAACTAATTAACCTGCAAAGAAAATTAACTCTTTGTTCACGTATTTTTATGAAAGACATTTTGCTTAAGTGTTTAAAGCAATGGCTTAAAAGATATTACATTCAAATTATGTAATGTTATGTGTATTAAAAATGTCGGTTAAAAGATTTAATTATAGAATAACAAGACTATTACTAATACTACTACTACTATTTATGTGAACGGCTGCGCATATTGATCCAATTATTCGCAGAAGCAATTAAAATGGTTTTAAAAAAAAACCCGTAAAGTTGCAAACATTGCAATAAACTATGTTTGCTTGCTTGCTTTACATTGGATTTATTGCTCATAAAATATACATAAATATTATATAATATCAACGACGTCAACAGTAAAAGGCATGAAAAGAACATTTGTGTTTTACTTTTCTCTTTTTTTTTTTTTTTGCTTGGATTAGCCCAGCGTTCGGGAAATGCATTCGGGCATATTAAATTTTCTTAATGAGTTTGCAACGTTAAGGTCTTCTTAAGTATAAAAATATTATTTTCTAAAATGCCATGTCTTTGAAATCTTTATCTTTATGTCATTAAATCAATTTAGGTATCGCGTAATGTCCGTCTTTCCGCGCGTACATTAATTAAAATAGATTGTAAAAATTTTGAATTGATTTTTATGAATTGTTAATTTGCCCGTAACTATCCATGCGCTCAATAGTTACAAGAAGGAAATCGTTAGTCAAACCGGCTATGTATGCATGTATTTAAGGGTAATTTGCGTATATAATTCATCGGCAGTTATAATGCTCTTTAGAGAATGTATGACGACGGGTATCCGAAATTCGCTAAAAGGCGTTCTTACTTGTTTGTTTTGTTGCTTTGTTTGCTATTTTTTTTTTTTTTTTGTTTTGGTTTAAACAAACATTTGAGAATTGTAATTTCCGAAATCAACACTAATTCACAATTGGAGCGAAGCAAAGTTATGTTCAAAATGTATTGAGGAAAGCGCGCTATAATATCGATCGTTATGTTATTGGCTGGGTAGCCGGCTTGAGTGGTTGACTGGCTTTGGCTATTGATGATAGAGTGTGAGGCAGCAGTAACTACATACATAATGTACACTAACGAGAAATGATTATAATCAACATTATGGCGTTCAGTACGTTTTTTTTTTTTATTTTTCCCCCTGACCAATATCAGAAACTAAAGGAGAAAAAAAAAAAAGAAAAAAAATGAAAAAACTAATACAATAATAATAACCGCTGTAGTAAAACGGTCAATGCTTATCGTTTGTGTTTAAACTTGTAAGTATGATGATGCGGATGCGGTATCTAAGCCATAAACACAGCTTGTCTGTTTGCTTTTAAAGTTGTGTATATGTGTGTATGCATGTGTATTCAGTTTGCGGCCGTAATGAACAAACAATAACTTCCAAAATAGATAAATTGAATTAACGAGGTGCAGGCATATTATAAACTTGCATATATACATATATACATATATATATATATATATATAAATATATATGCAAGAAAAGTAACAACAATAACGATAACAACAACAGTAACTACATAAACGGATAAACAGACAGTGGTCAATAACTATACACAGAAGTGGCAGTCATAACACAGCATTTAAAGATCAACAAATAGCACTAAAAATTGCCAATCGTAGCACTTGTACTGCTAATATGCCAGCGAACACAATGCTCAACTTAGTTGAACACTGGCAGACCAGGTCTGCCCTGATCTATATTCTTTATTTTCCTAGAGCAGTCATAAATTTTATAGCAACATTTCCTTGCCAAAGCATTGCACAAAAAATAAAAACAAAAATAAATAAATAAAAAAAATAAAAAATAAAAAAATAAAAATTACGATAAAAATGAAGAAAAGAAAATCAGGAAAAACATCAAACCCGAAGACTATTAAGTTTAGACAAAAAACAACTTAAAAAAATAGTAGAAGAATTCTTTTGGTGGTGGACTGCTAACAGTGCCGTGTGGTTGAGAGTTCTTACCTTAAGAGGA